CATCCCTACTATCTTGTTTGCATTGTTATTGAAGGATTGATATTAGCCATCCCTACATTTACTTCCTTTTTTTTTTTTAAAGTTTTTTCTTTACTTGTTTTTTTTTATTGCAGTGTTTCAATATACATAGGAAGGTTGTGTTCATAATCAAGTTCTAAATACAATGAGGTTCCAACTGTAATATTTATTGTTTATCTGTTATTGGATAGTAATTCCTGTTTCACCCTGTACTTAATTTTTTTTAAAGAAACAACATATTTCTGTAAGAAAGCTAACTTCAAGGAGTAATGATAACATTGTTTACATTAGAATTATGATTTTTTAAAATTACTACCAGTTGTTAATAATACTTATAAAAGCAAATACTCAGTTTGAAACTATGTCACCTCAGTGAAATTGGTTGGCACAAGTTTTGGTTTTTGAGTTATCATGTAAAAAAAAAAGCAGAAGGAAGAAGAAAAGGAAGTTCAAACTTTTTGCTACAATACTTACAGACATTCTCAGAACTTGTGACTCAGTCATTACACGGATATTGTTATAAAAGAAAATACTGTATAGTATGTAACGTTCTGATAACCTATTGATGAGATATTTAAAATACCATTTTGATGAACAATCCAAGTTATCCCTACATAGGCAGTGCTACCGCCTGCCTGATTACATAAATAAGAGTCTTCTAAAAAAAGAGCTAAGCCATAACTCCATGAATTGAGTTTGGCATATAAACTTCTACTGTGTCCTTAAATCAGAATAACTGTTTAATAGTTTAAAGTTCATTAAGATTTGCCCTCAATTTCATGTATGATACAAAAGACTTATTTCAGCTTTATAATATAAAGCTAAAATTATAAATTTATTAAATTTATGACACCAAAGACCTCTTTTTGGTGGATACAGTTGGTTTTGCACTAAAATTATTAAGAAAGAAATTAACACAGCATTCTCAGTAACTGAGAATTTATAAACATATGATGCAATGGGCTTAAAACCTGAATAACTGAATAATAAAACTAATGAGTACAAATGTAACATAAATAAAACAAAATATAAGTATCAAATAGTGCATTAAGAATAAAATAAAAACAAATTTGTAATTTACTTACAATATGATGGAATATAACCAATCTTAATTTGTGGTAGATAAAAAAGTGTAGGTCATCTACTCAAGATCACTATTCCTTGTGAAAACTGTTTAATATTAAGATATTCTCTTATTTACGTCACTTTCCAAAACAAAAAGAGAAGAAGAACATCCTTTCTTATAGTTTATACAAAATGATACTACAGTGTTTAAAGTTAACATTTGATTTTTCATTAAATGGGAAAGAATACCTCAAAAAGCTAAATTAGTTTTACTAAAAAAAAAACGAATTGATTTTGGAGGACAAGTTCATTAACTTTCAAAGTAGTGAAAGACAAGTGGTTTAATACAGTGTAATTCACGAGTTTTTATTGTCAGTAATTTTGATTTAAAAGACTAAAGAAAAGCAAGTTAGTCAATAGCACCCACTTGCAACTTTTGGGCTACTCTAATCAAACAGTGGAATTTGACCATCACTTTTATAACACACCAATAGCCCCAAAGTACAAAGCACATTTTTGTAGCAAAGGGTACAAGGGCAACATCATCCAGTCTTATAGTATTATATTCATTCTATTAATTTCAATTTTGAACCTTAAAGCTTACCCTGCGAACTAGGATCTTCTTCATAGATTGGTTTTACAAAACCACTGAAGTACAGTTCTTTGTTCTTCTCTATAAGCCCAGAGTCAAAAGGACACAAGTGTGTGTTACGATCATACACACTGAAATCACAAGAATCATGATGTTAGAAAAAACAGACACATGTTAAGACAGAGTCAAATCCACTTGCAATGTGTAAGGTAGGCTCTACTATTTCAGTATAATCAACGAATATGTTAGGTTTTTATGAGACACACAGCATGCTTTCACAGTTACAATGTTAACTTTATGAAAAAAATTGTATTAATGTAGTTTCTCTCATTATTAATAATTAACCATATACATATATAAATAACTACATGCAGATATACATTTACACACTGTATATGGAAAGTAAATATTCAAATTACTTTAAAACATTTCTTCCCATTATATACAAAATAATAAATTAATATGATAAAAAATGCAAAGAACCATACATTAATATGACAAAAGGACTTCATAAATATACATCACACTGAAAACTATTTTGTGTACTTCTCAAAACTGAGAAGCATTGAAAATAATTAAATAGAAGTTCCAAAAAGTTTAAAACTTTCAAGTTAAACTGAAAATAATATCATAGAAAGCTCTAGCTTTTAAATGAAACTATATTAAGCATCTTTAATTAAAATAACATACAAAAGAAAACAGATGTAAAATAAGGAATCAATAAAAAAACACAGGACAGTTATATTAAAACACAATTCATAATGGAGGAAATTTGGATGTTCAGGCCTTAAAGTTTTAATGCATACAGTTTATAAATAGTATCAAGAAAACATACAAGTATTTAACACCAAGTTATGAGTCAGGGAGACATATTTAGTGAATTGATTCCCAAAGAAAGCTTTCTGGCACTCTCTCTCTTCGTCAATTCTGAATAGAGATTTGAACTCTTTGTGATATCTGGAATCTGAACTGCTCACCAATGTGGTTGAATTTGCACTAGTTTCCCGGCTATGAGAATGTCATACCCCAATCCAAATTCCCACACAAAACACACTAGTGATTGCACATGTTGCACCATACAAGATCTAGTTTCTCAGTTCTATAAAACCATTTTTGCATGTTCTGTAAACAGAGATGGCCAAGGAAGGCTCACTGAAGCTCTTCCCACTGTTCATACAAGAGGACCACAGTCAAGCCAATCCCCTAAACACTACATCTTCATCACCAAATATAACTGAGAAGCAAGTTCTTTTGAGAGTAAAGTGTATATTTTTGTCAAGTTAACAAACTGAGAAATTTATCAGACTATATTGTTTTTAATATAAATTGAACAACAGAAACCATGACACCCCTATGTAACCCATTTAATCCCTCAAATTTGGTCTTCTTGACTCTCAGACTTGGTGTTCTAAAGCTTTTAGGAGTTTAATAACTGATACCTAATATCAGAAATATTCATTCTCTGTTCTTGCAATTCATATTAACTGAAATATTGCAGATTGTCCTGTGATGGCAACAACTGAAGTTGTTTTTGTTTACAAACACAATGTTGAAAACAGAAAGATTAAAAGCTACCCATCTTGTAAACATGAAGACAACTCATATCAAAATGGGAAGAAGGTGAAACATAAACATAGTGTTAAAATAAGTATCAGTATCAAATGCAAGACAGAAGCAAAACTTTAACAACAAAAGTGAAGGTTCAGCTCATTATTAGATGAATTTATAACTTGCACTGTTTAGGAAAGAAAGAATATTTGTCTTGAAACAAAACGTGCTTTGTTCTCAAGAATTAAAATATTAGAGATGGTCATCTTTGAAAATAAATTCAAATAAATCTCATATCCAACTGAACTTCCCTCTTATATTTCTTTAAAATCACAGCTAAAATGACAGCAGAGTTTTGTAGTAATAAAACAATGGGTTTCAAGAAGTTTGTGTATATTAACTAGTATAAATTCTGAAACATTATGGATATTAAAATCACTATTACAATACCTGAATTGAGTTATTTTATGCTGAGGTCTTTCACTAATGTCTTCCATGTTGTCTTCATTTTCTTCTCCCGTAAACAGTGATAGATGAGGGTCTGTCAGCATAATAAATTCTTCCACCTTTAAAAAAAAGAAAAAAATGGAAGTGACATATATGTGTCGCATATACACATGTGTCACATATACACGTGTGTCACATATATATATAGACACACACACACATACACGCACACATATAAGAATGAATATTATGCATTAAGCCTGAAGCATAGCCTTTTGGTTAAGGTCACAGTATTAAACAGAATAATACCACCAAGCTAAAACTTTTACTCTTTCAAGCAAATACACTTTACCAAGCCTTGGTTGACCATATTGGTACAACAGCTAGTTTCAAATCTGACTCACTAATAACAAAATGTTCTACATTGTTAGCCAACTTAACAGTCAAATATATCTTAGCACAAAAAATACTTAAAAATTATGTAAAACAGATCAGATCATAAAAACATTCTTGACAGACCATGAAACCTAAATTAAGGCTTTATTTCTTTTTTTTTATAAACCTAACAATAAAATTCAATTTAAGTAGTGTTAATCTAAGTATAAAGCTCTTGGATTAGAATTATATAACTTTAAGAAGCTGGTAAACAAAAAAAATCTATGAAATGTACAACAAGTTTTAAAGCAAATATCCACTAGACAAAGAGTAAGCAGAATTAGATTTTGATACATACAGCTATCAATATCTAACACTCTTTATGTATCTATAAAACAGAAGTTGTTCATCTATCTGTCTGTCTGGTGTCTCAAGTTGTTGTGAGGAACTGGCCGAACAAATTCATCTGAATTTGGTAGGGCAATTCAGTTTAAATGAATAAGCAGTGGGACAAACTGAGCAAGGAGATCAGTAACAAAATATGTGAAACCAATAATAAACAAATGATGTTTAATGCTGTGCATAGATAATTTTGCATCAGATGAACAGCTAATGTGCTATGACTCAAAACAGTGGAAGACATCAGCTCAAACCCCTAGGTTTGCTAGTTTTAAAACTGAAAGTAAATCACTCCCATCTCAACATTAATACTAGCTCGATAGCCCTAGTTGCAGAAGTAACACATTAGTCTGATGTGGTTAGTGACTTAAATCTGAGTATCTGTTTTATTTTTGACTTTTTGATATACTCACACATTTGATTTGTTGCACTGTCATGACAAAATGGTGTCAGTAATTATAATTTCTCAAGCTCAGTATGTACAAACTGTTTATTACCAAAGCAGAAAGAAAAGTTATTTAACAGCTGATAAAAAAAAATTATTTTCTTTCTTGAAAGATCAATATCAGTAACCTACTTAGCTTTTTGTTTCAAAGACAACCATCACAGCATTGTACAAACTGAAGAATATTCAGTAATTGTTAATAATATTTTAATTTTGAACATTTTAATGGTTTTGTAAGTATAATTGCAGCTGATAAATCTTTGAAAAAAAAGCATTGTGCAAACATCTTATCATAACTTAGTTTTAAAGTACATGTTCAGGTTAAGACCTCAACTGTGTAAATGAAATTACTTCACTTCGCATTTCACTCTCTATTTTACTTTCCAAATGCCAAAATCAAACAGAAACTGAGTTTCAATCTCTTTTTTAGTTTTCAAAAACAAAAAAACTATATTGGTTTGTTTGGGGAGGAGGAGGATATGAAATAAGACAGTTAGAAAATTAGTCTTACTTTTTCTCTTGCATATATAAACCCATTAAATATTGAAAAGTATTGACAGGGTTATTTGCACAGAATTTTTTTGCTAATAAAATTATGAATAAAAAACATGATTTGTTTTTGTTATTTTATATTTACTTTCAGACATTAAATGGGAAAATATTGCAAAACTCAAGACTTATTATTTCAATGGAAGTCGTTAAAAAGCAGAGCTACAACAAATTTCCAGTTGTTAAATAAAACACAGTAGTCAATTTTTATTATAATTTTCAACTCTTTTTGTACAAGTTAATAGGTGTTATAATTGTAGACCACTATGTAATGCAAAAGCCCTTTCATATTCAACTTATAATCATTGCAATGAAAAATAAAAATTCATTTGTTATAAGGGCATATTTTTAACTCAACTGCCACAAGTCTCAGTTTTCTATTCACTAGTTTGTAAAAACTGACTTTTACAGATCCTTTCATTAGAATAATCAGAACTTGTAAAGCTCATTAGTTGATTGCTGTTAGGAAGAAGGAGTATCAACTTGAGTAATTAGAAGTATGAGTGAAATTAAGAGTCTGCTTGTCAAATAAACTACAACTCTATTATAAGTTGTCTAAAAATCCATGGAAATTTAACCAGTGCTTAAAATTTCTACAACTCTTAAATAGTTTAGACAATGACCTGAAAAGTATAAGTTACAGTACTAAACTTTGCACCATGTTTAAATCTTTTCAATTGTCAAATTTAAGCCAAATAATTCCCTAAGTTCATAAACATCAAGCAAATTTTTATATTAATAAAACTCACAGAATTTTCCGGATCTCCAGTAAACATTACAAGGTCTGTGTTATCTAATAACTGTCCACATTCTTTACACTTTAAAGGAGGTTGAGCTGGTGGCTTGACTTCTTTATTTGTTGTTCTTTCTCTGTGAAAAACATCAAATTTCTAAGTTTAGCATAATGCAACATAAAATAAAAAAAACATAGTCAGGCAGTAGTATTACCTTGCTTTTAAACTAAAGAAAATGTGTGAGCAAGGAAATGTTTTTGTGCAAAAAATATGTCATAGGAATTTCATCTATCATATGTTTGTCTTATATGCTTTTAAAATATTTTGTTCAGAAAACCTACAATTTTTAAGCTGGATAATGTACTTTGCTACCCATAAGTGTTGATTTTTTGTTTCTAAGTAGTTATGAAGTTTTATTATTGCCTCGTCTGAGGTACAAAATGACTTTTCTGTTTCAGCAACAGCTTAGAGAAAGATTCATAGGAAATGGTGTTGAGATCCTTGTGTTAAAGTCATGTTTTTTTTATTTTAATATTACAATACATTTCAAAAGAGAAAAATCTTATATATTTCATATCTAACCATGTCATAAGTTAAAGTCCATAGAGGACAACTTCCATTATTTATTTTAGAATATTTACATATTTTACACTTAATTACTGTAAGAAGTAAACAAAAATATTGTCATAAAATTAATTAAAATGGAACACTAAGTGATATACAGCAAAATATATTTTACCACAAGTTTTTTAAATAAGAAACTAAGATTTACATTTACTAATAATGCAATGTTGAACTTCGATAAACTTTCACTAAAACTTAAGGAAACGTGTATTTCCATCCAAATTTTCTCAACTTCTTTAGTTTATATTATAATGATATTGGATCCAACATAAGTAGTCCAAGATGTTTAAAACAACATTCATAAAACTTTTGTGGAAAATTAAACTTTTTTTTCCTCACTAAATAGCAACTGCATCCAAATAAGAGCAAAGGAAAAGTTCATTTAAAGCTAGTAATGATTATTAGTTTCAGATATGAAACTTGAGTTTCCATTACTAAAATCAATGTATCCTTGTGAGACTAAACATTTCCACTAGATTTACTTGTCTAGATGACTATTAATAATTTCACCTTAATGTCTTCCAATTCTACAAAAGTTTCTAAGAAAAACTACATGTAGAGAAAGTGTGTTTGTTAAATTTTAAGCATATCTACACAAGGTCTATTCACACAAGCTATCCAAAATCTAGTTTCTTTCTTCAGGAATGCAAGGACCATCGTGGTAAGTTTTCATCCCTGCATCCTCTGAAAATGAGGTGGCCAGTTTCTTGGAAACAGAAAAGAAATTAAAGAGCTTACTTCTTTTACAAGGGGTGGATTTACAGTCCTCTTTTGGTTCCATGGTTGTAGAATAATTTGTTGAGGAAACTTTCTTGACTTCTTGCTACAGGAGCATTCAATTGGATTCATAGACCATAGGTCTAGTGAAACACCAGTCAAGTTTAAATTTGGAATCCAATGCCACAGCCAACCAGAAGACACTGTGTTGCTCATACTGAGTCAGCTGGACATGAACAGATTTCTTCAGTGCAGAGACAACATTGAAATTATATCTGGACTGCATGCTGTCCATCTCAGTCATCAGCCCATAAAAACATGGCACTATATAACTGGAGGTAACAATGTTGTGACCTTGAGTGAAATCTGTTGCCTCTTCAAAAGGTGTCGGCATTGTCACCATATCTGCAAGCAGTTTGATCATAAAATGCAAGTTCTGGTCTACCAGAATCTAGATTATCCTGGGTAATCTTCAATAAAGACTTAATCACCTTAATTTCTGAGTTCCATCATGTTGGTGTTACCA